ATAATTTGTGACTTAACCCTGTTGTTGCCGACACAAACAAGAAATACCAAATATGGATATCATACAACATTATAGAAAAATAATGCAATGGTTATGTTATTTCGATTGACGCCTACAAAGTCAGAATTTCCTATAATTGAATCCAATGAATTACATGAAGATTTGGAATCTAATTTATTAGCAAAGTCCTAACCACTAATTTACAATAGTCCTCCATGCTGCTACTCGTATGTGTTCATACTCAATCATGTGTCCTATGTATGAATTTCTGACTCTGGAGTTTGGTCTGTACTATATAGACTTTAATTGGAATATGATGGCTTCTGTGTTGTTTTCCTACTGTGTTTTATGCATAGTTAGTGTTGCTCTTTCTACTACCGTGGGGCGAAGTCATCGACTATCGCCCTACAAAAAAAAGAAATGAAAGTTCATGTCGCACTTGCTTTGTCCGACCATGAGCCAAGCGAAATCGGAGGGTATCCGGCTATTAGTAGCTGTATTATTTCACATTCACATCATAATATTAATATGATCATAGAAAAAAAAACATTTCCAACCGAGAAAAACCCCAACAGGAATGGGACTTAAACACGTGACCTTGGAAATTCAAATTTGTAATTAAATACCCTATCCCCTATTTATACAAGGCATTACATTTTGGATCTCCACAGGTCCACATTTTAGACGACCGCTATCATACACTGAATTAATGAGCCGACCGGCAGCAGCCAGGGTCTCTGCAGTAAGTGGTCTCGAAAACCGCGACTCAGAGTGTTTGATACCGATACCGCCCGAGCATCATTACTTCTGTCTATTTCTCCCACAAACCCCAAACAAGTATGGCTACCGCATCGTCCCAGCAAGTGGGAGTCTACCCGACCCCCGCTGCCTCGCGAACCCCAGGTCCTTAGGGACCAACTCTATGCGAGGGGTTATAAGGGGTAGGGCATCAGAAATATTCTGGTCCAAAAACATTCTCTGAAGCCATTGAGTTGCAAGCCGACTAATTGCGTTTGGATAGCGCTGGCCAGTACGCGGTGTTTTCCCTGGTAACTGAAGACGAGTTGGCAACAATCTAACACCTTCGCGACACCCGCCACAGGGGACTCCGCTTCATGTACCTTAATGATGAAGAGGCCGTTATTGTGAAAATCACGACCGGTAAACTTCATGATACCGCTTGCGAGGAATTTGATGGAATTTTTGTCCTCAAGGCGGTGGAAATGGGGATGGGGAGGGAGGTTTGCAAAATAGGTTGTATGATACCACCTTTTGAGGCATAGTGAGTAAAAAAGTAGCCGATACGGCATTAGTACCTACCTCTTTTCGTCCCCGTCAACCCGTTTGGCCAACCCGTGTCATTGAATATGGAGTCTCCGAACCCCTCCCGCGCTTGTGCACCGAGGCTCACTGGTGGCTGAAAAACTCGGCGGAAGAGGTGAATACCGTGGTCCTCATTTCTATATCCAAGGCGGCCAGAAGGTTTCATATAAAGCAATGGGAAACGGCCACCCTGACAAATCTGCAGGCTACTGGAGGCAGCGCCAATCCTCTTGAAACCAGAGCGACGAAAGTTTGCCAGGTTAAAATCGTCACACCTCTTCTCATGCCACGTGTTCCCCAACTTACTGCTTTCCCCTCCTATTCATGCTCTTGTTGACTCCCCAGCTTTCGGTCCAGCACCTATTGGCCCCGTGCCTGCTGCTCCATCACCTGTCCTCCTCGCCCTCCTGCTGCCATAGCATGTGTCGAAACGGGAGCTCCCTTGGCTCTCGATTTCGGAAAAAAATATTCCTTCGCTAGGCAGTCCAAGGTGAATGTGATATCATATTTACTACTCAGGATCTCCTACTCTTTGCTGATTAGGTTTGGCGTTGCGTGCTGTAAGACAATACCTAGATCGGAATACTGGTAGTCGCCAAGTCAGAACTGTGGCTTAAAATTGGATTGAGGGCTAGTGGCACCCGTCACTTACAGAGTAGAGCACGGGGAGATATGATACCACTTGCGGAGGGGTCTATGTGGGGAACGGGCATATGTGGCATGGGTGGTGTCGCTCTTGGGTAAAAGGCGCTAGGTAGGGTTTGAGATTTCTTCTAGTAGTTTCTTTTGCATTTTTATTCAGCATACCAGCCACCTGGCCATTTTAAATGTCTCTTCTAAACTGGCTCGTGATGGCTGTGTGATATTTGCCGACGGTTCTACTGCATACATTCACTAACCTGACTTGGGTAGGTTTTTAGAACCACCTCCTCACTTCCAAACATATAAACGGTGATCCAGAATTAACTAAGGGAAGGCCCAGTTTATTGTCTGGCCGGGTTAGCGATCTGAGGATGAACTAATTCTTTAGATGGATGATGTTCAAATGCTCTGTGCAGAAACCCTTTCCTAGGCCCAATATCAGGAGATTGCTCCCCTGTGTTGGGATAGGCTGTATGGCTTACTTTAAGGAGTTTGTAGATAACTAGCATAAGGTGAGTTAGTTTTTTGTGAGATTTTGAGCGGGGGATCGCGAGAATGAGATTACAGTTGATTCAAGATGGTTCTGTCCAGGTGGGCGTGCACGTGAATCAGGATTGATTTCGTATTTATAGAATTTTGTATAATACCATGGAATACGCACCCCAACCGCATATGATATGTATCTTATTTGATACTAGAAAATTCTTTCCACAAAAATCCGTGATTGCATAATTACTACTAGGAGATGTAAAAGTGGAAGATTTTGTTTTGCAAAAAAACATAGTTACAAATCCAAGTTAATTCTGAGTATGATACCATAATTTATTTTAATTTATGATACATGAATTGCCTAGCCTTAAATACCATCAACAGCCCATCAGACCCCAAACAATTGTGGAGTTCCTAAACTCTGTCCATTGAAGAGGTCGGTACACCAACCAATTCTTAACCTTCTTGAAACTGCCCCCATCAAGATTGTCCTTGAGAAAGAATAGCAGCAAATAATTTCTGAGTCAAGACATAAAAGCGCAGTGGAATTGGGTAATATGTCATAGATAAAAATAGAAACAATAGATAGAACAAGGTATAAGAGTAATGGGATAATATCATATAGTAATGGTATGAAGTCCAGAAAAAAAGTTCCAGGAGCCGGTGTCAGGCTGAGAGAAAGAAATTTTCTGTGATACAGAAACTCAAGTACTCGTGCCAAGATTGTGGCTTGTCCATTCAGTGTTTATATCGGGCAGGGAGGTGTGTTCAGCGGTTTGTAGTGGCCAGGGATTCTGTAATTCCGGTCTTACATCTACTGCTGTCAGTACTACGAGCTAGCATCCTTAGGGGCAATCAAGGTAACGAGGTTGTGGACCATACATTGTTCGCCTGTACGGTTAGTTGGTGGGGAATATCGTAGGGGCGGTATTCAGAACTGGTTTTTGAAATTCAGTATTTTATTGGAAATCCTGATTCCGTTGATCACTGGAAAAGAGTGCATTTGTGGAACAAGTCACCTGCCACCTCTTTGTTGAGCAACCTCTTGATATATTCAGATGGTTGATTTTTCCTGCCTCCCAAGGTATTTCGTCCCAATAAATTGCATTATAACTTGACCTTTTCACCATGAACCTCTTGCATTTTGGTTGAGAGGGGACAGTACCATGCCAATAAGGATTGGTTGTGCGCTGGCCTGGTGTCTTGATTGGAGGTTTCTGTTCTGCAGTGTCCTAAATTTCAGGAAATCAGAATCGCTTTGCTTTGTTGCTTGGCAGGCGATAACCAGAATTTCGGTGAAAAATGTTTCTTGATTGATGGGGACCTATCGTAGTTTTAAGTTATGGCTCCACTGTGTTACCCCTGCAGCGGCTCTGAATCTTGAACATGGCGGGAAACTACCGGTTGAAGGTAAAGAGATGTCTAGGGGCCTGTTTGGCAACAACGTTCCATTTCGTTCGCCCATACAAATTGCCCTATGGTTCCATTCGCGAACGGCCATTTTGTATGTACGAACGAGACAGAACCGCCATTGCCAAACAGGCCCTAGACAAGCAGAGAATTCCTTCGTAGCTATATGCTCCTTTTACTAGTACGGTTTATGCTCTTGTCAGGGTTGGGTTATGTTGGTTTTTCCGGTAAAACAGTCTGAATTTGGCCCCAGGAGTGTGGGAGAATATTGAAAACAGTATTTCTGAGCAGTGCAACTATGTTACATTGAGGGCACGTCTGTTTCAGAATGGCAGGTAGGGGATATCGTGTGCTGGTATTGACAGAGTATATTGGATATCGCTACTCTTACAAGTGTCCTTCATACCATGTCCGGGAATGCACTATTAGAGACATGTATTATGGGCTATTTTTGGAAGCGAAGCCTGTTTAAATATCCTGCTGAGGCCACCACCGGGGCTAAAAGACGATAGCGCGAACAGGTTTAGCGCATCAAGTAGCCAAATCTACTTGTAGGTGACGAGAGCAGGGGAATTTGATCCCAGTATGGGGGGAGAGTGGGTAGACTGAGAATTATCAGGCTCTAGCTGCGCCTGAACATGAACCTGAGATGGACTTTTATGCCCTGGTAGGATATTGTCCTATTGAATGGTTCAGATCTAGAACCCTACCCTCTATAGTGAGCTCTGAATATAGAATTGGAGTATCAAGTTAGGGTTGATGGGGTGACCGCTGGACTCGCGAGTCACACGGTTCTTTGCTTCTTGTTCCTCGCAGATCCGCATCAATCCATCTTCCTCATCAACGGTCTTACCAACAGCCCAAACAAATTTCCAGATATCCTACTACGCAATATCCCGGGCACCCGCCATCTCTACTGTCTTATCTTCCTTTGAATAAATTCTTCTTTGTTCATTTTTAACCGCCTGCAATGATTTTTCTTCAGCTCCCACCCGCCGTCATCCTTTCCATTGCCAAAGAGCTTACACCGGCTGAGCACAATTCCTTGATCCGCAGCAACCGTTATCTAAAAGTACTCTTAACGCCGGCTTTCAACCAAATACCCCTTTCAGCCCCCCAAACGCGTGGCAGGAAAGCTCTGAGGATCGCAGCTGAAGCGGGAGGAGTATCTGCTGTCCGATCGCTTGCCCATATGGGACTTCTCGGACTCCTAAAAGAGGGCCACCATATAACCCACGTCTATCCCGAAATGACTCCGACAGGAATAAGCACTCTTCTGGGTAGCGGGCTTTTCTTCGTCGACGCCCGCGACAAACAGGGCCAAACTCCCCTCCTTATGGCCGCCTGTTCATATAATTTGGATGCGGTCCGCTGCTTGCTCGCCTATGGCGCACAACCGAACTCCAGAGACCTGGCCGATAGCACACCACTTACCGAAGCCGCCAAGCGCAATTTGGTTGAAATAGTCCGAGTGTTACTCCAGGATCAAAGGACAAGGGTCAATCAGGCGGATTGGGCCGGTTGTACAGCTCTCTATTGGGCTGCTAGGGAGGGCTGTTTGGAGACCACAGCCGCACTGTTGGGGGACCACCGAACCGATATTAATCTTGCGACTTGGTCGGTTAGTATTCAGGAGAACTGCAACACTCCCCTCAAGATTGCTAGGGAACAGGGCCACAGTGAAGTGGTAAAATTGTTGCTGGCAAGGCCCGATATTATTGACGGAGAGAGGCCCGGTCCGCACCGCCGAACCCGACCCGGTTATTTCGGGAACTAGAAACCCGCTGCTCGGCTGCGGGGCTTCTCTAGTGATGTTTCTCGGTCTCAGTTGAAGATATGGATTTCATTTAACTGGAACTATTGTCACTTAGTCCGTACCCAAGCCCGACAGAAAAGGTGTGAGATAGATGGAAAGGGAAGCCCGGAGATTACAGCCGATATCTTGATTTAAGTCGGCCCGGGTTTCTGAAAACTGTTGTTTCTGTTCAAGAAAGGCACGAGTGGGAAACAGGTGTAGTATACTTGTTTCTGTCCGTGTGCGGGTATCAGCCAGATAATTATAGGGGGGAGTGGTAATGGCTGGCCGGCAAATCTGGTTGACTCGATTTGTTTCTTTGGGTGAATTTCTTTGTGTGTGTTTCTTTGTTTGAGTTTCCTTGATTCAGTTTCTTTTGTTTGACATTCTTTGTCCACCCATGGCTTCAATGCCCAAAAGTTTTGTATTTTCCTGCTTTGCACTAGCCTTTCAGTTTTATAGTCAACCAGATTCCTTTCTATCACGTTCCACGGCTCAGAGTAAAGACGCGTAGTAACGCACGATTGGTGGATGAATACCCGTATAATTTGCTTTCAGCCTCTGTCATGAGAGCCACGTCGCGTTTGGGGACATGGGGATCTCCGAAGCCCTAGGCTGTACTGCCGGCTCAAGCCGGTTATTGACATTAGACTGATAATTCTACGCTATCTTGTAAACCCAACTGGCTACCATAGGATGTACCGGGACCTCTCCGTTTGGAAGTCTTTGTTTGACTCCCTTGGTCCCTCGAGAGCTGAATGCTGTACCCTCTCTGCTACTGCCTCCCCCCCCCCCCCCATCCACCCGGCTTTGCTTCAGAAACCGCGAGGATGGCGGAAAAGCTCGTGGCCGCTCGCGACCTGGCAGGAGAGTATAGCCGGCTAGTGGAGGATTAGCATCTATCGATCAAGAATACTTAGCATGGTGGGATATGCGAAAATTATGAAGGGAAATGTGGAGCGTTTGAATGAGAAGCGTACAGAGAAATGGAACGAGTGTACCAAAGACAGGCTTGTTATTCCGTGACCTGCTCTACATACGATTGTGGCCGGAGGAGACCTTTTAAATACATAAGTCAATCGCCAACTCTTCCGGGAGTCTCTTGAACATAATCACGCCATTTTGGTATTTTCTCACACCATTTCCTTACCCCTCTTTCCCCTCTCTGCTGTCCCGCTTTGGTGTACCTTTTTACTCCTCACTTCGCATACTTCGCCGAGTACCTGGCTCTGGTGAATCATCCGATATTCTTCTCGCATGTTTTAACATAATGACAGGTAGGGATCGTCTGCGCGGGAGTGTAGGCGTTTAACAGGATATACGAGCGGAAACTTTAGCAAAGGCCACCGCTATGGCTCGTTATGAAATGATGTCGTGGGAAGCTTTGACACCGTGTCAGTCACTATTGCGAATGTGTTATCTTATATGTCCGTGTACAGATGTCGTTGGGGCATATCACATGCGATTTCCAGCATTGTGATCCAATCCACCACATTAGGACTAGCAAAGCATGACAGAAGTGATGGAACTCAGGGAACGCTGGGAAACCAGTAACCTTGAGGCTGCGACTAGCGACACATTTTCCCCTCGAAAGTCTCTGCGTTACCAATTGTCAGACCCCCGGTTGGGGTTAGATTTCCCTCCCCAGCCTTGACGCGATATACTAGTGAATAACGGCAAGGAGCGCTGATACACTATTCCAGTATGGTTAGCAGATCCGGGGTTCAATAACGCCTGATCAAGCATAACATGCCCGAATCGAGAATTGTTAAACCCGCTGCTGTTCGACTTTTACTCCACCTGCTGATCTTGAGAAAAAGGTATTACCAAGGCGAGGGTAGCATGGATAAAGTGCTGGAATTGAGCTCTGGTAGGTCTCTTACCATGAGGCTCCCCGGTTTACCCTAGGGATTCGTTTGCTGGCTGGGGGAAATTAATTAAATTGTGGCGGTATCCATGATGCAGAGCCAATTACCGCTACCAGCCACCCCTTTTGCTCATGCGCTTAGCATCACTGAAGGGCAATGACTGGAGAGGTGGGACCAGTCCTTATCATTGTTCCCAGGGCTGGAATTATACAACATTATCAAAGGGCCATATACACAATGGGGCCCGCTTCCTGCTCCCCTGGGATGTCAAACTAATCTGACTTCAAGTCAGATATTCCGTTTACTTCCAGATCCCATTGATGACACGGCCTGCGGCCGCCGCTATCGTCTCTCAACCTTGATGCCCCTATGGCGGCTACGGCAAGATGGATCTCGGTAGACAATACTTCCTCCCTTGATCCAGGTTGATAATACGTCACCGGCTTTGTCGGTGAGCGCTCGACTCCATGGATGCCGTCGATCAACCTTTGCGCCGCATCTACCCTACCCTAGAGCCACGAATCGCCAATCTGTGGGACTGTCACTAGTGTCCGGAATGGTTTACGGGAGCATACATTGAAGCCGGCCAGGTATCAACCGCTGGCAAAACTGAGTGGAACTGACACAGCCCAGGCCCCCCGCGGTAGAGCAGAGGTCAAGTCAGGGATCCCCAAGATCAGCATGCGGAACAAATAGAAGAGCGTGGAATACCACGGGGGGTTAGATGCAAGACAGGCCGATATTTTGTGCAGTGGATAACAATGAAAGCAATGTTTTTCTGATTTATCTGACTCAACAGGTAAGACGGGAACGGGGATCGGGGTATCGATCCCGGTCTCACTCCGCATGTCGATTTTCCCCAATACCCTCCGTCGACCTCTTTTTTTGGTTTACTGCTCCTGCTTTCATAAAATTTTGAATTTATTGTACCGTCTGGATGCTTCATGCGCCTTGATTCCCCCGATATCTCACTATGGATAGAGCAGACCAGTGCCGTGTTGGCCGGCCCCAAGCGCCGTAGCACCTCGGGCGCATCCGGCAACGAATGGTATACATTTCTGGTATCTAGCCATCCAAAATTGTATCCTATGATTTGTCCTAGAACCTGCATTATCTTTTTGCTATAACCCGTATGGTACATTTACTACAGCCAATCATCCTTCACCAGGCCTCAGCCACCTAAGTTAACTTATACCCACGAAGGTTGGAAACCCTTTTCTCCCTCTCTTCCGGTTCTAGCTCTAGGTTTTAGCCAGGTATGGATTTGTTGTGGCAAAATCTTTACCTCGCACCCCTGAACCATTCGTTCGTTGCAACTTGTCCCTCCCGTATTTAGTCACTTGTTCGAACTCACTGAAGATAGACACATATGGCTGAACTCAAGGAGAGAAAATCTGAAAATAGTAGATAGAATCTGTGCAGCACGGTTTCGGAGAGTGAGGAACTTGAGAGGGAGAAGTGAATTATTCGGTAGGTGAATTTGGCTCAAATCCTCACTCTGAGGATTTCGCCGAAAGAGGGACTCCCAATTCTCCACCACGAACAGAAACCACAACACACCGTGATACCTAGAAGACCCCCTACAGGCACGAATTTCCACTCGCTGCTGCTGAGTTTCGATCGAAATACTCCATGCGTTGCCCGTCCGACCCCTCCCCAGTCCAATATGGATACCGCTCATGGCTGAAGGCATTTTCCAGGGCTCTTTTACTCACTAGAACGGTATCCCTGCTTAATATTGCTGACAAGTACGCAGATTCACTTCCGTGACCCATAGGTATTAGTATCTACATTCGTATATATACCCAACGCGCTATAATTCCGAGAAACATAAGGCGATTTGCCAAAGTCCAAATACCAGAGGGGAAGCTGGGGTTTTCGTTACAGGTTCTATTAGGGAACCAAGTAAGTTGCTATGTCATTTAGCACTGTTGCGGTGGGGGATGAGCGGTGCCCCTTCATTGAGGGTGGGGGAGGGGGAGGTCTCCGTACAAGTGGCGTTTTGTACCAATCTTAATTTAGTCCGTTAATCTAAATTGGTACTAGTTTCGCAAGATATATTTGCAAGCTTGTCCAAACTGCAAGATACTCCACCGAAGTGCTAATAGCAGGCTGTTATGCTTTTCTAAAGTTATATTTTATTGAATGGTCCGGAGTACGAGGAAGTTGAGAATATGGCGGTGCCGCATGGTGGTCAACAACCAGGTCTCCGACCGAAAACAAGCTAATAACAAGTTCCGGATAATCGGGTAATCCTTCCTGTAGCTGCGGCTGTCGTATTACAAATGTGAACATGGGTTGAAAAGTCATGGGGAATCTATTGCGATTAGGTCGGCAACCAAGCAACAATAGAAGTTTGATATGTTGTAATCCAGGGTTGCAGGATTACAGGATATGTTAGGAGGCGGGCGGTAGAGCATCATAAGGGTGCAGGAAATATGCGATCCGGGAGTTGGACGGGACGGACACGATCCAAAACCCCGGGGAATCAAGGGGGGAAAACTGTAAATTTTTCTTCCTTATCCACTACGATGAGATGGTTTTTGTAGGCCTGAGAAATTTCCTAGGTGGTGAGGGGGGGGGGGGGGGGGGCCGCAGGCTGCTCTGTCCGCTACAGAGCCGGATTTTAAGTGTTTGCCCCGCGATTGCAGTGGCCGTTGACCCCGAGTGCCTGTGCCTACCGTATTAACTTGAATAAGAGCAATACATCTCGGGACGTCTGACTTGCCTATTTTGGTAGGGACGGGAGAAAATACCAGCAAAATAAAACCACGCGTTACTAAGAGGGGAAACCTTGACGTCCCGAGCGGTGTTGCTCTTATTCAAGTTCATACGGTATGAAGCACACAAACCACTCTTTCATAGCGGTAAGCGATTAAGACGAATTAGCAATAGATTGTTAGTGCCTGAGAAACTGTTTTTTTGTGCATAATTTCGAGTGAGCCGATTGCGACGTCCAATCGGGTGGTAGGAGATACCAGGATTGTTGTGTAGGCTTTTTGTAATATTGGATCAGGCTAGTGGCCGACAGTGACGGCGGGAACTTGATCGATGGTTTGACTCAGTGTCCCCAA